GGCCCACCAGCCGTTTTAATCCAGCCCTCGAGCTCCCACTGGGAAGTGGGGTCTGGGGCTTGCCCTGCTCTGACGCTCCAATCGGGGAGCAGGGTCGGAGGCCACTCCACGCAGGTCCCAGAAGCAGTGGCATGGCCCCACTCCAGTTCCTACATGTAGGGGCAGCCAGGGGGCTCCGTTCTGCCTGCCACCCCCACAGCTCCCATTGGCCAGGAACTGCGGACAGGCAGCGTGCAGAGCCGCCTGGCTGCGCCTCCGCATAGGAGCCAGAGAAGGGACATGCTGCTGCTTCCTGGAGCCCCTTGAGGTAAGCGCTGCCCAGAGCCTGCACCCTGACCTTCCCCTACACCCCAACCCCCTGCCCTGATCCCCCTCCCGCCCTCCAAACCCCTCGGTCCCAGCCCGGAGCACCCTCCTGCACCCCAAACTCCTCAGCCTGTACCCCCAATTTTGTGAGCATTCATGGCCCGCCATATCATTTATATTCCCAGATGTGGCCCTCGGGCCAAAAAGTTTGCCCACCCCAGTTGTAAGAACTAGGTAGGAGCCAGGACTCCTGGGTTCTATTCTTGATTCGCTGTGTAACCATAGTTAGGTTTCTTATCCTCTTCATGCTTCAGTTTACTTATAAAATGCAACCCCCCCCCTGCTCCCCCCCCCCCCCAAACAATCCTGTGAGGCTTTATTCATGCTTGCAAACAGCTATATAAGTGCAAGAGTACATCATGCATCACGACTCACTCCCTCTAACATACCAAGCACCTTGGGGCTGATTTTTGGAAGTGTTTGAGATCCACTGATTTCAGTGGGAGTTGTGAGTGGCTTCCCCTCTCAGAGGGCAGAGCGCAAACAGAAGTGGAGCAAACTGAATTTGCCCTTTGAAGTGAAGATCCAGTACAGGAGGGATCTGCCAAGAGGCAAACCTGCTAAGAGCCCTTCAGTTTGGTTCCGCAACGTCATGCAGTTCCAAGAGGTTTACAGAAGTAAATCAATGTTCTCTGATACTTCGGTGCCCAACGAGGCTTTGGAGAAATGAAGGCAGAGCGCGAGCTCGCTCAATCCTGGGAGGTTGCTTTTTGTTGTTAATGGAACCCTCTCCATTGTGTGATCACCTGGAAGAGACTTTGCCAAAGCAGAGGGGCCTGCCCTGAGATAAAGAGGTGGGGAAAGGGAAGGGTGAGGGCAGGGGCGGCTATGTTTTTTGCCTCCCCAAGCATGGCAGTTAGGTGGCCTTCGGTGGCACGCCTGTGGGGGGGGGGGTCCGCCGGTCCCGCCCCTTCGGCTGCCTGCCGCCGAAGCTGCGGGACCAGCGGACCCCCCTCCCCGCAGGCGTGCCACTGAAGGCCGCCTAACTGCCGCCCTCACAGCAACCGGCAGGCTGCCCCCCGCGGCTTGCCGCCCCAGGCACGCGCTTGCTGTGCTGGTGCCTGGAGCCACCCCTGGGTGAGGGGCTGGAAGGAGCAGGAGAGAGGGGGACTGGATGGCTCAGGGGTGAGGAAATGGGAAACCGGAGCCATTCACTGACTTGGCTCCAAGCAACAACTATCATCATTTGCTGGCTGGCTGAAACCTGTGGAGAAGGAAGTGGTGGGAACAGATCAGATAAGTAGCCAGCTCATAGGACCCATCACCCATGACTTCCTCTGTTGGCAGTCTCAGAAAGAAGCCAAGAACCACCATCACCTCCAGAGGTGGCCTCTCCAGACCAGGGTTGGGCTGCGCTGGTGGCTTCATGTGGGGAATTCTGTACCTAACTGCTTATGGTGCAGAGAAGGAGGATTTCAGCCCCCAGGCCGGCCACCCAGCCTTTTATTTATTTCAAATCAAACCTCTTCCACCGGCCCCCACCAGGCTGCAGAAAATCTGCCTTGAAAGTGGGCATAAGATAGGGTTACCATATTTAAAAAATAAAAAAAGAGGACACTCCATGGGGCCCTGGCCCTGCCCCTTTCCCACCCCAACTCCGCCCATTCCCTGCCCCTTCCCCAAAGTCCCCGCCCTAACTCCCCCTCCTCCCTCCCAGCCACGCGAAAAGGGCTGCCCCAGCGCTACCGTCTTCACGGTTTGCCGGGCAGCCCCCCCAGACCCTGTGCCCCCGGCCGGCGCTTCCCCAGCGCAGCTGGAGCCTGGGAGGGGAAGCGCCCAGCCGGGGGCGCAGGGTCTGGAGGCTGCCCGGCAAACCGTGAAGCCAGTAGCACTCGGGCTTCGGGCAGCCCCCATGCCTCTGGACCCTGCGCCCCCGGAACCCGGGAGGGGAAGTGCCCGGCCGGCGGCTCAGTGTCCGGAGGCAAGGGGGCTGCCTGAAGCCGGTAGCACTCGGGCAGCTCGGCTCTTAAACAGAGACGAAGAGTCAGGGGAGGAGCACAGCAGCCACGGGAGGGGAAGTGCCCGGCCGGCGGTATTTTTCCCGGACATGTTCGGCTTTTTGGCAATTCCCCCCGGACGGGGGTTTGATTACCAAAAAGCCGGACATGTCCGGGAAAAACCGGACATATGGTAACCCTACATAAGACAGCAGAAGCCAATTACAAGCCCCCCAGCCGCGGACCTGGAGCTGAACAGCGCATGCCAGGAAGAGGGCAGGGCTAGGCCATCAATGAGACACGCTCATTCAATACATCTCCCAGGAAGGCTCCTGTCGAGCTTCAGCAGAACGTAAGGGAGGGCAGCTTTGGGTGGCATCCCTGGGAGTGGGCATGGGCAGTACAGCTGCTGCCCTCCTGCAGTGGGGAGTTCCTCCCTTCCAGTGCAGCTGCAGATGGGGCAATTCAGTTTGCTCCTCCCTGTTTCCACGGGAGCACATCTGGCTCCTAGATATCGGCCCTGTGCAATCTCTAGGGCTCAGGCTGATTTAAGAGCCTAAGCCGGCTCCAGACCAAGACGCACAATGGCAGTGATGCAGGAGGAGCTGGGTGTACCCCTCCACAACACTCCATGCCCAGGCAGCCCTGGTAACTGGAGGAGAGGGGGAGAATATGAAAACCAATTAACCGCTGGGCAAAAACCAGCCAGAGCGACCTGGGCCATGAGGGATAGCACGTTCCATGCACGCCGCAGCCGCTCCTGGCCTGTGCTGGACCCTAGCTACCACCATGAGGAGCACAGAGTCGCTAGCCGGGAGAGAGAGAACGTGCACAGAGCTGGATGGAAATGTCCCACTCTTTAACACACACCTTGGAGGCTTACTATTTGAGTTGCTGGTCTCAGCCCGATTCATAATGGACAGGCGGCATCTGCATCACAAACTACACACCTGTGGGCGTCCCCGCTGCCAGGCCAAGGGCTGGACGTGCTACAGCGGCTGAGCAGTACCTCCTAACTTAAGGGGAAGGATGGCCCAGTGGTTAGGACTTAGGAGACCTAGACTCAATTCCCTGTTCTCCTACAGACTTCCTGGGTGACCTTGGACATGTCACTTAGTCTCTGTTCCCCATCTGTAAAATGGGGATAACAGCACCTCACAGGGATAAAGACTGGGAGGTGCTCAGATGCCATGATAATGGGGGTCATGTAAGTACCTAAGATGTTTAGACAGAGCCTTAACAGTGGTCCCTTCTGTCACAGTCCAGGGAAACTGCACCTGTGTTCCCCCTCCGTGGTCCAACCACAAGTTGAGGACTTCAGTAGCTCAAACATAGGTCAGGGATTTGTTACAGGAGTGGGTGGGTGAGATTCTGTGGCCTGTGTTGTGTAGAAGGTCAGACTAGAAGATCATAACGGTCCCTTCTGACATTAAAGTCTATGAGTCTATAAGGGCACCCACTCTTAGGTTCCCAGGTCCCAGCCCTCACCTCTCGGTCAGAGACCTGCGTCTCGCTCCCTCCTGACCAGGCTGCACAGCTCCCTGTGTTCGCGGTGAGTTCCCCAGCCAGTCAGACTGCCTAAGCAGGCCTGCTTTGCTTTCTCCTCAGTGGCTATAAACAGCATACTTGCCCACAGCTATAAGTGACCACACTGCCCTTTGCAAGCAAGCACAGTTATTCTTCAGGTGAAAGCATTACAGAGAAAACACATTAAAACAATAAAAGAACTCACACGCCAGCTAATAAGCTTACCAGCGATCCGCCCTTCCCCCCAACTCCAGCGTGGGCTCTGGCAGGTGAATAGTCCTTCAGACTCCACCAGGCGGGTTTTCTGTGGTCACAAATTCATAACAGCTTTTGCTCAGAACACGAACACTGCCTGAAACCGGTGGGTATGTACTCGGCACGGCTCAGCTGTGCCTCCACTGCTACTACCCATGCTGCCCACTGCGGTTACACTGTTATCCATACTCCTGCTTGCTTGATGAGAGCGAGCGTGAGCATGTGTACGCGAGCAGGGGAGCCACACCCCTAGCTCGTAGTGTAGACTTAGCCGGTGAGTCCCTTCTTTATCTTTGATCTGCAGAGACCGGGAAGAGGTATTCTGCCTGACAGCAGCTCAAAAGCTTGGGTCTGGAGTTGGGCATCTGCATTCCCCTCCCTCCAGATATTTCCTAGGAAATCCGCTTTGTTCAACCTGACAGTGCCTCCTTGTCTGGCCCAATCTGTAAAGCAGTCCTTGGAAGCTCATAACACTTCCCGGCAGGGTTTACATTGGCCACGTCTGCCCCCCTAGAGAAGTTGTGCACAATCCCACAATAACACATCCACTTTGCATTTGTACTACAATGGGCTCCAAAGCTATTTAAACTTAATTCAGTCAGATCTCCCAAAATGTTGCCGGAACTTGCCAGGTCTGTGTATTGGCCGTGCTCCTCCCATTCTGTCGATACGCAGAGACTCTCTGGCCTCTCAACCCGGCAACTTTTATCAACACTAAACTCACTGGAAGAAATGTTTTTACTGTCGTTTATAAAAGGTGCTGAGGCACCATCTATGAGATGCTGTAATTAGCAATCATGGGTCTCTCTCTACCGCTGGAAATCGGGCACCGGCTGGTAAGAGATGGGGCTGCTGTTTCTACATTCCACCCCAATCCGGCTCCTAACTTTTGCCTTTGCTTTGCTTCTCCGCCAGATGTATTTCTACTTCTCCGACAAGGTGGTACTTTTGTTTGACTTCTGGAATGTCCACACCCCTGCAGGTAAGAACAGAATCTGTGGATTATTCCCAACCCTGAGCGATAGAAATTAGACCCAAGTAATTTGTACCGTAAAACATAGCCTCAGAGAGCAGCTGATTATGGGTGGTTATCAGCGATGTAGTTTGTTCATGTTTACTCTAGCAGAGGCCATAACGTGTGCTGAGTAGGTGATAAGTAGAGGAGGGAATAAGGGCCGCTATTCAGCTTACTCACTGTTTTCGCTGTAGTGACAGACACCAAATCAAGGACTGGGAGAATAGGAACTTGCCCGCACAGAAAAATTCCAACAGAGAATATGTTCTCCAGCACTCTATACAAACCCACTGCCTGCCCCCAGCCCCACGCCTGATCTCCGGAGGCCCCCTCCTGTCCCCCGTAATAGCCCTGATCTCTCCGTGTGGAATTCACCGAATGCCCCAAACGGTCGCTACTACATCACAAGCCACTGAAAGATGGTCCACGCTATTGCTCAGTAGGGATTGACGCACAGCACACATTTGATAGGCACAAATTACAACCGCTGGCCATCTCTACTCCAGAGTGGGCCACGACTGGGACAGCGAGGGAGGAGACAAATGAGGATGTAGAGCAGTTATTTATCACATGCCTGCCTTATCCATTATACCATGTACACAAGCACTACATTTATGCATAAAACAATGCCAATAAAGGCTACAAAGAGACCTAGCAGAAGACTAAGAGAGTGTTTAAACTCAGCCTCTAAGTCTCCCATAGCAGGGGAAGAGTATTGGTTTGGTCACAGATTGGGATGGGACTTGGGGGAAGATGCCCAGAGAATATACAGTGATTTGCAGAGTCTCATGAGGACTGATCAGTGAATCACACACCGGCCTGCTGCCACTCCAGCAATGCTAAGGTGCGGGGAGGGGGTGCCATTATGAAATGGAAAGTGGGCAGTTCTGCCAGAGGGCTCAAGAAGAACTTTGTACCCCATGTCCTTCACTCGGAAGAGGTTCTGGCCCCATCTGGGATGAGCAGAGCAGAAGAGATGGGGAGACCCGTTGGGGTGGGTAGAGGCAGATGGCACTAGAAGCACCACTGCCCCTTTCCTACTGGATCGGAGCTTTGCAGCCTGATGGGATGGGGATGAAGAGCGGAATGAGGGTGGGGGAAAGGCAGATGCTGAGGATCAGCTACTGTATTTGATCAGGAAACTTCCTTAGAAGAAGGGACTCCCTCTAAAACTTACTGTTCAGAGTCCCATGAAACACTCGCTGCTTCGTGGCAAGTTAAATGGTCCTTCCGTTGCAGGGATGGTCCTGACTCTCTTGCTGGTCAATCTGAATGGTGTTTGCCTTGCAGGGATGGTGCTCTCGGTGCTGGTGGTTCTGCTGCTAGCGGCATTGTACGAAGCCATCAAGATCAGCAAAACCAAACTCCTTTGCCAGACGATACTGGCCATCCCCACCACCCTCAGTCAGGAGTCACTCGGGGAGCCGGAGACAGGGTCTGTCAACTCCAACCTGGGTCAGCAAAACACCACCTCAAAAAGGTAACCCACTCCCCGTCTGAGGCTTTCGCTATCGCCTGCTACACAGAGGAGGCCCAAGGGCTTTAAGCACCGTTTGCTGTGTGGTCCCATCATAGGGTTGCCAAGCCTCCAGGATTGTCCTGGAGTCTCCAGGAATTCAAGATTACTCTTTCATTAAAGAGTATGTCATGTGATGAAACCTCCGGGAATACGTCCGACCAAAATTGGCCACGCTAGACCCAGGGTCTGTCCAGACCAGCAGCCTGTCTCTGACAGTGGCCAGTGCCGGCTGCTTCAGAGGAAGGTGTAAGAGACCCTGCAGTAGCTTCCAGGGAACCTTCCTCCTCATGCTGAAGTGCTCACATCTGAAGAGCGCAGGGGGCATAGGCGCCGACTTCCCCTCTTTCCCGTGGGTGCTGGACCCCCCTTCTGCCCCCGGCCCCGCCTCTTCCCACCCCTTCCCCACCCTCATTCCAATCCCTTCCCCAAATCCCTGCCCTGGCCCTGCCTCTTCCCCGCCTCCTCCCCTGAGCACACTGCGTTACTGTTCCTCCCCCCCTCCTGGAGCCTGCTAATGCTGCCAAACAGCTGTTTGGCGGCAGCCGGGTAGGAAGCGCTGGGAGGTAGGCGGAGGAGCGGGGACGCAGCGCACTGGGGGGAGGAGGAGGAGGTGGGGCGGGGGGAGCTTGGCTGCCAGTGGGTGCAGAGCACCCATTAATTTTTTCCTGTGGGTGCTCCAGCCCCAGAGCACCCCCGGAGTTGGCGCCTATGGCTGGGGATGCGAGGTGAAGATGAACAGTGCAATACACAGTGAGAGGAGGGTGCCCACCAGATAGGCCGGGTCAGGGGAGGCCGCAAAGCTGAGGAGGGAGAGGTTCCCAACACTGCCAATTCAACACTCTGCGGGTGTTCAGAGCCCTCTACAGGCAATCCTCACCCGACTGACTGCTTTCCCCATTCCCCCCACTGCCTGGGGGCAGCCTGGCCCCTCAGACAGGGAGCAGCTAGATTGCTCCAGCAGGATTTGCAGCTCCCACCCCATCTCTGGCATCTCCTGTGCCCTGCCCCCTAAGGCCAGGAAGGGGGTGAAGTTGCTGGCACGGCTCCTCCTCCTTCCCCAGAGCTCTGCTCCCGGTCAGTGAGACGCAGGTCAGGGGAGATGAGGATCCCAGGATCCCCAAACCCCTCTCAGTAGGTGGCCTCTGCCCAACTGTCCTCCTCCACTAAGTGCTCCTGCCCTCATGTTTGCCCCGTACTGCCTCAGCTCCTTCTCCCCCACCCCCATGGGCTGCTGCCCCCTCCCTCCTACACCTAACTCAGGTCTCAGCTCCCCCCATGCCACAGGTGTTTTCTTGCTTTGCCCATTGGCTTCAAGGGGTGCCCAGCTGCTCCCTCATCTTCAAAGTCAAGAGGGACCCTGCCCTGTCCCACTGGGAGTGGCGGGGTTGCCGGGCAGCGACACCGGCTGGGGGTGGGAAAGGGCTGCGTGACAGGGACTGTCGATCACCAGCACACCCGACCCAGGGAGCCGGCACTGCCCCAGCCAGCAGGGCTGCAGCCGGAGGAGTTCAGTCTTAGCGCTGTTTGGAATTGTTCCAGAGGAACAGTTTTCCATTGGAAAATGCTGATTCAAGGGGAAATTATCGAACCGTTTCTTTTCATCTTGGTTGCATTGGCGTGTTTAAATTATAAAACCGGAATATAAACACGTCGAGCCGATCGAGTGAGAACAAACGGTCATTTTGATTTTTCCTCAATGAAGTTTTGGAATCCCCAGGAAATTTTGAATTTTTGTTCCAATTCGGAACAATTTTCCCCACAAACGTTTGGAATTTCCCATGGGACAGGAATTCTGAGTTCTGACCAGCTCTGAATTTTTATACAAGTTGTTTGCAGATTTGTTAACTGGAACGTACTGTTTTTTCTGGGTTCAAATGGTGGCAGGTGCCGCAGGCTTTCTGTACCCCGTAAAGCATCACAACTATAGCTGTTAAAACGGAACCAATTAATCCCACTCGATCTCGTCTTCCCTCAGGCACCGCCTGTATCGTGAGCTAAGCCATCCCAATTACGCTCTTATTTTCTGGCCAACCACATATCTCTAGCAGGGCTCCTTTGGCAAACAGTCTGAGGAAATACGCTGAACGGCTTCCCTCCCTGTCTTTTCAGGAGCCCTCGTCAGTGGTTCCCATGTGATCGGGGGTAACTAGCATGAAAGGCTTAATCTCAGATGGAGTCTCATTCACAGGTGCAGGATTGACCCACTGAGGCCAGGAACGAATCACTGGACATTATGGGAATGCTAAGGGCTTTCCCCCCTCAGCGTCTCCACAGGGAATGGGGATCTGTTATGGTCACACAGGCCTATCCCACGTGATCACTTTCTGCTTTGGCAGTGGTGGGATAATGGAACTTGGGCCTTTGCCACAGAAAACCCATTCAAGGAAGAAGATGGGAGGTTGCCTACAAAGAGATCGCCCCAAAAATACACGTACTGACTACTGTTCTGACCCTCCTTCATTAGAAGGCCCTGTCTGTTAAGCATCCAATTTCTATGCTCAGTTAAGGCCGGTTTCACTATTTGCCTGCAGCTGGAAAGAGCTTTTCATGGACCCCGGAGCACCGTACTTAAAACATGAAGTGCAACTAACTAAAAAGAGCATCTTTGGCTCACACTGGGATGAGGTGGTAACCGTAGCAGGTGACAAGGTGGAGAATTCCACCAAGTTAGAACCCTGGGGGCTAAAAGCTCAGTGTGCCTAAGTGATCCAGGCATGGAAAGGGTTAAGAAATCAAAGGCAAGTTTTAGCCCATATGTGCAGAAACCAAAATGCAGAAGAGGCAACGCTTAGTTCAGAGCTTAATGCCGCCCAGTGATTTTGCAAAGGAACAGGAAGCCAACCAGGCACGAAATGCGGGTAACGAACAACGCAAGGGGAAGTCACGTGACTTTGAGGAGCTTGCCGCCCTGCCTTGCATGTCCTGTTCCATGTGGCGCAAAGTTTCATATACAACCCAGCAGGAGAGGAGGAAGCAAGCTAGTGTAAGATGATGGGGGCCGGGAGGGGCTGCAGAGCGGTGTCATTTTGGTGCTGTAGCCCCCACAGCTTCGGCAGCGTGCTGAGATCACTGCCTATCATGCTGCTGAAGATCGTCCCATTGTTTCCTTGTGCTTCCCCATCTGTCTGGATCCACCTGTCGCCTCTTGTCTTACACCGTAAGCTGTTTGGGGTCTGTGTTTGTACAGCCCCTAGCACAATGGGATCCTGATCCAGGAGTGGGGCTCCCCTAGGAGCTACCACGATACAGCTCATTACTAGACAATCAGAACGCCTCAGCGGCTCAGCACAGCGATGCCGGCCTGCGTAGACGTACCCGAGCCAGCGTGAATCATGCAGGTACAGGAGGGAAGACGTGACGCTGCAGTAGCAGGCACTTCAGTGTGGAGCGTATACGCCTGCCTGGAACCCTGCGTGATCACGCTGGGGCTAGGTCATACTGCTGCAGTTGCACTAGCTGGGTAGCGTGGGTGCTGGCAGATTACATGAACTGCAGTCAGCATGGACAGACCCTCAGGCAGCACAGTGCCCTCAGCGCACTCTGCAAACATAAATTAACCCCACTTAACGTTATACCCACAATGCGCTACCAGGGCTCCTGGCCATAAGCTCTCACACCTCTTTGGCCAGTACCCCCCTCCTGGAGCACGTCAGACACACTTGGAAGTCTGGGGGGATGTTGCTAACTAGCAAGACATGTTCGCGCCATAGTTAACTCTGCTTTTCTTTTCTGGAAAGGTGGTTTCTTTACCACATCAGCCAGAGCCTGCTCCACGTGGCCCAGGTGGTGATCGGTTACCTGGTGATGCTGGTGGTGATGTCCTACAACACTTGGATCTTCCTGGGGGTGATCGTGGGTTCCGCCCTGGGTTTCTACCTGGCTTACCCGGTGTTCACCGCGAGATAGCGAGACCTGCTGCACTCCAGGGCAACATCTGCAGTGGGAGGAGGACTAAGGAGGCTCCACTAGAGAAAATGCTTGTGCAAGACTTGGCCTGGAGCTGGCAGGAGATAATCCCCACGCAATGGGGGACTCCCCCCCCATTCTCCCACCCTGGGGGGATTGAGTGTCTTCCTTTTAAACCTAGCATGGTCTCCCCTTCTATACAATTATCCATTTTCAAGATCGCTTTTGGACCCTTTCTGCTGGGCAGGCCCTCATCATCCTGGCCAAGCAGGGCACGGCCCCACAAGGAGCTAAACTGGGCCACGGGCTGCGAACCAAGCAGCTCAGCCTTACAGCTGCCGTCTCCAATGACTTTGAACCCACACTCAGGAATCCCAGGAGCCTTTCCCTGCTGACTGGAGGAGCAAGGGGGCTTGGGCCGTGGGCACTGCCACCCTCGCCTGGGGACTGACAGAGCAGGCGGACGTGTTACAGGCTACGCCCATCAGCGCTACGCCCATCAGCGGGTGCTGGAGGGATGGGAATGCCAGGGGATAGATTGGGGTTATTTTACCCTCCCTCACAGGTTGTTCATGTTCCTGGCTGGCCCCCCTAACAGCTCTGTTCCCCTCTCCCTGCTGCCTGTGGGCAGGAGGAAACTAACTCTCAGTGTGCTCGTGCTGGTCTCTGACCCTAAGGGGACGCTCCCCCTCACACTGTGCCTTCCGTGTTCCCAACAGAGCAAAGCCGCACGGCAGCGCCCTCTCTCAGCACCCTCCGGCTAGCGCAGGGGGTGGGCAGAGCTTGATCACCCTCCTGCTGCTGGAGCATAAGGGAGTCAGTCAGTCGGTTTCACCGTCTTGCGTGTGCAATGGCTCGGTTGCTTTGGAAACCAGGGGCTGGTGGGTCTCACAGGATCCTGTTGTAGTTCATGCCAAAAGAAGGACCAGTTTTAATAAAGCTAATTGCCTGACTACTTGTGTGTGTGTGCGTGCACCTGATCGTGGTACCAGGGCTGGGAGAAGCAGCTGGCTTCTCATAAGGCTGAAAGATAACGTGTAAATAGATGGGGCTGATCAAAAATTAGGCTCCCCAACGGCCAGCCATTCCCCAGTGGCAAGGGACTGCTCAGAAAGCTGCAAAGGATGCAGTCAAGCGCAAACAAAGATTTCAACATTTTTAGTATAAATTAACTAAGTTTCTAAAAGAAAAGTCATTTTGAAAACGTTGAAAGGGATTTTTTGACAACTGCTCAGCTCTCTGCACATCAGGCACAAGCCATCTCGGGCCTGCACAGCCCAGAGTTGTACATGGACAAAAAAATAAATGATTCCATTGAAGGTTTAACAGTTAGAAACTTGAGTCCTTAATTCACCAGCCTCGTCTTTCCAGTGCGGGGACTATATGCTGATGGGGAGACTTTATGAACAAGAAAACAATACCACCTAGCCCTTAGATACCACTTTTTTCTCAATAGATCTTAAAGTGCTGTACCAAGGAGGTCAGTATCACTGTCCCCATTCTACAGATAAAGAAACCGAGGCACACAGCAGGAACGGTCGACCAGCAGGCTGGTAGCCGAGTCAGGATTAGAACCCAAGTCTCTCAAATCCCAGTGCAGTGTGCTAAGTGATATCCCAGCTGAACACACACCATGTTAAGAAGCCATTCACTGACCTTAGCCAGCCAGATAGCACTGCCAGGGAGGTCACCCTGGCCAGTTACCCTCATTACAATTAAGTCCTAGGTTCCCACCATCACATGGAATGTCCCAGAGCTCACCATTTTCACTAACAGTGAAGGAGAGATGGTCTACTTAAGCCACGGGACAGGGACTCAGGAGATGTGGATTCAGTTCCTGGTTCCACCATTGTTTTTTTGTATACCCCTGGTCTTTCTGTGCTTCACTTCCCTATCTGTAAAGTGGGAACACTGCCACCCCCTTTCTCCCACCCTTTTCTCTTATGTATTTACATTGTATGCTCTTTGGGGCAGAGAGAGAGAGTGTGAGTGAGTGTGTGTATAGCGCCTAGCACAGCAGGGCCCGAAACTGCAACTGGATTACAAATCCACTTAGAGCTAGGCCCTAACCTAGGACCCCAAAGCCCAAGTTCTCTGCCACGCACACCCGCCTAAGCCCCAGTCTACTTTTGGATGTGCTCATGTATATGCACTTACCAACTACATAGCGGGCCCCAGACTGGACATCAAATCAAAGCCCTCCTTCTGAATTTAGAGGAACTCCGCCGCTGGCCCCAAACATTCTGGCTCCGCCCCACCCCCAACCCTCCATGTGGAACATCTCCCTTTCGTTGGTGTGTCTGGAGTGATGTCATCGCTCAGTCAGGAACGAGAGCGTATCGCTAGCTTTAAATAAAGCTGGGTTTTATTTATTCTTAGAAGCATATTTTAAACATTTGTATAACATTCTCCATAAAATATCTTGGAAGAGACAGGTTTTGATTCCCAAGGCAAGGCACTCTGGGAGGCCCCAAGTGGTTTAGACTGGGCACCACCCATTTAAAAATAGAAAAAATGGCATCTAAAATACACATGGAAGTTGGAATGTATCTGTAGCAGAGGAAAGGATTCGAAGGCCGGGCTCCTGGTCCATATTCTGCAGTGAAGGTCTAAGCAGCTCATTCACCAGACTTTACACACCAGGTGTTTCAGCTGTATCTCATGTTTTAAACATTACATTACCTGCATGCAGCTCGTGTGTCTGCTGAGTCGATTCCCCAGCTAGCTACACGTCCCCAGTTCCCCTTAGCGTTAATGGAAGTCTGAGACACAGGTCACCCACGAGAGGCATGGATGTCCCATTGCGTATTGGGTTATATACCACCCCTAGTGTTCAGCTGAGCTCCTGGCTGGAGGTCCAACTCAATGCAATTGTACTTGGATTGTACCCAAGATGCCGGAGAGAGATCTGGAGAAACCCGCTTCAGCAGCCTCTGCCATCCCCTGCGTTTGGCCAGGGAATGTTTCTGTTCTCCCCACACCCCGACCTCCTGAAAAGGGCACCACGGAGAGCAGACATCTGGTGAGTTGGGTTGTGCCCACACAGAGGAGTCATTTGACCATCTCAGCTGAAAGACCCTGGCTAACTCCGTCGGAGCCTTTCTGGGAGCTTGGCCAGAGCACGGCTGGAGCTGGATTCCAGTGCACATTTCCATCGGTCCTGCCTTTGACAGAAAAACTACAGGGCTCCCCTCTCCTTCACTCTTGGTGCAAGGACAATAGGATCCACGTAACAGTCTCTGAGGGCTAGCATTCCACATCTACGCTTTTGCTTTAAGGTGACCTCATCCCTGAAGTTTAACTTGTTTGCACAGACCCCAAAGCCCAGTGGGGTCAGACAGAGCCAGTGAACCTCCTTTCTCTCCTCTCCTCCTACCATGACAGGTTCTTTCCAGGAGAACTTAACTCTTGCAATGCAACAAGAGCTAAGCCCACCACGAGGCATAGGCTTCACACTGGGCACCATTAAGAGACCCCGTTGTCATGTGACCCCAGCAAAGTCAAATACCTTCAGGGGGTCAGGGTGGATTTAGTTGGCGTCCTGGGGTAGCACAGACTCAGAAAGGAACAGGGGACATTTATTCCCAGCATGTTGTGTGTGCTGGGAAGAGGATGTAATCTCAGCAGAGCTTTTCCAGAAGAGTTGGATGGGGGGGAGGGGGAAGAAGAGCTATAACTAGGGACCCAGTGGAAAAATGAAAGCGAGACCCCCCCCCCCAGGCTCCCCCCCATATTTAGAGGTTTTCCTGACTGGCTGGGGGGGGGGAGGGGGAGGCATGCAGACAAGTTGCATCCTTTCCCTCCCCAGAGCAGCTGTCTCTCTCCTAGCTAAGCCATACCTCCCACCCTCATGGGACAGGGAAAGTATCCTAGACCAGTCCACCCTCAGTGCAATGAAATTCACCATTGGGTTGATGATTGCCAAGAGCTGGGCATGGTTGTATCAAGACCCCTTTCCCCATTAAGGCACTTGTTTCTCTCACTACCGTTAGCCCAGCTCACCCCAAGCCACCTCCTACCCAGGAGCTACTCAGCACTCCCCAAAAGCAAACCCAACGAAAATAAGAGCCCTAAACACACCGTCACGTGCAGGAGGGAATCGCCGATAAGCAACCAGCCAGAGTCCTACAACGTCCCTGCCAGCCTGCGGCCCCCTCTCCTCTCTGGTGCAATGGGAGCTTCCACTGTGCAGTTCTGTCAAGACTTGCCCTTGTAGATCTCTCCCTCTGAACCATGCACCTCGATTTCTGGCCTTCTCTGGGACCTTTAATTCTCTCCCTGCAAAGCCAACTTCCTCTCCATTGCCTTCCGAAAACACTATTTCACCTACCCTGGCCTTCCAAGGAGGTTTCCGCTCTCTCCCCTTACCCCCTCCACATTTTAAGGAAAGGGAAGGAGACCGTCCATCAACAACATTCATGTGGCCATTAGCATTTGTAAACAAACCAGCTAAGCTTGTCGGGGACCATCTTCGGTAGGTTCAAGGCTGCAGGGGGCTTGCAAGGAAAGGGATGAGTGGTGGGGCCACCACTCACTGGGGCTTTGGAGAAACCACCTACCAGAAGCGAGGGGAGGAAAGAAAAATAAGTGGCTGGTTCTAAAGCTTCAGAGATGTATCGCAATAGCCGTTTTTAACTGAACAAGGGAATCAATCATCCACTAAAAGCTCCCAGGAGCAGAATGGCACTGGATAGCGTCAGTCATTTACAGCTCAATCTACGCACGACCAACCATCCTCGTCGTCTCTTTCCACGGCCACCAGTTCCCTCCCGCAAGGCCAGGGGTGAACTCTCAAGTTTACGTCACAGTCCTAACCTGTGTGTATAACGGGAGGAGGGACGTGGAGGAGACGGTGATAGCGGAGAGGTATTTGTGGCTCCTTCCATCCCTCAACCGACCTTACAAGCAGACAATCTTTGGAGCCATCAGCGGAACCCACAGTCAGACCAGCACACGCGAGGAAGGCCAGGAGCAACAGGGTTCGGGTGCTGCCCTGTATTACCCACACTCGCTAGTTCTATTTATTCTTCAGCGATGCACTAATGCGGCCGGAAACTATGCAACAGCCCCATCCTCCGCCGTTGACTCTCCTTCTTTAGGGGCCAATCAGAAAAGACGGATTCCAGTTCGTTTGTGACTCATTTAACCCTCCCTCTGCCAGAGCGTGCGGCAAGACACGTTAAAGTCATGGCGCTGGCTTGAACAGTACTTAGTAGCGAACAAGGGGCATCCCGTTGGCCATTTGGCTCGGGGAAGAGGTGCATCTTTCCAGGGCGGGCGGTGGTCAGCATTTGCAAGGGCAGAAGGGGGGAGTGCACATTCTATCTCAGCCGGGCTCCTGGATGCGGGCTCGTTCGGAGAAATGCTGGATACCGGTAGGTGGCCTCTGACTGCAGCCGCCGTGCTTGACAAAGAAGCGTGGCGTGCGGCATTGACCTCTTTGGTTGGAATGAGAAGTATCAGACGAAGGGAAGGGCTGGACTGGTGGAATGGGAAGGGGAACCCCTACAAAACCCACCCCCCAGGGCATCAGGCGCCCGCTGGCATACGCTGTGCAGATGTCCTGGGGAGCTCCTGCCTAGGGGAAACCCCGGGCAGTCCCACAGTCACACTCTTGTTAGTTGAGTAATGCAGTAAAGTGTCTCTTCAACAAAGGGAAAACAACAAAGTAAGACGGAGCAAGGTGTGCGTATCCTATACTGAGCTAGAGTCCTGGGAGGAGGGGCAACGGCTTGGCCAGCGTGGCGGCTTGGTTCTGGCCAGCACACGGCTCCCCTCTAAGTGGGTGTGCAGTTTAGGAGATCTTACATCTTGGTGGCTCCCCCCACCCCCTTCCCTGGGACGCTGGTGTCCGAAGCCGAGTCTGCTTCAGAAACTGGGAATGTAACAGCTACCAGTGCCAGCGACTGGCCCAGCCTACGAGCCCCCCCGCCCCCCGGCGTCACTGACTCCAGTCCACCTTCGGCACATAGTGTACACAGCCGGCAGGGATCTCGACCAGGGGGGGCTGACCTAGAACTGAGTCTGCACCCCCTCGCTGTTCTCAGTGGTCCCCGCGCTGTTCTCGGTGGTCCCCGCGCTGTTCCCGGTGGCCGGCTGGGCAGGCTCCACCTTCTCCGCATGGGCCTGGGTGGACACCTCTTCCCCCGTCTCCTTGTCGTTGGGTTCGTGGCGGTTCACTTCAACTCCCCCCTCAGCAAGCAACGAGGCAGCTGTCAGGGCAGGCGGCTTGGCTGGAGAGGCGGGCACGGCTGGCTTGGCTTCCTGCTCCTCCACCCCCGGGTTCACTGGGCCCGGGGAGCCAGCGTCATGCTGGGCGGAGTGTTCCAAGGAACCAGGGCCTTCCTCGGCCTTCTGGGCAGCTCCCTCCACCCCGCGCTCCTCAGAGCTGCCGCTCTGCTGGACTATTGTACCATTCGTCAGCGGTTCCTTTGCCTCCTCTCTTGCTGGGACCGGGGTCTCCACGCAGAACTCCTTCACCAGCATCCCCCGTATCCCCTGCACGCTGTCAGGAGAACCCGGTGAAGCAAGGGCAGGACAGGCCTCCAGCTCCTCCGACCCGGGCCCTTCCTGGGAGACCTGGTGCATCAGCACCTCCGCCCCGGCCTCGTAGGGCAGGGCTCCCTCGTCGTCGTGGATGACCGACACCACCTGCCTGGCTCTGCGGCGCTTCTCGGCGGATGGGTCCGAGTCCGGCTGGCTGCCGAACTCCTCTCCCCAGTCGATGGGCATGCCCTCGCCCAACAGGTGCAGGTTGGGGTCGCTGTTGTGCATGACCATGCTGTCCCGGTACAGGTTGTGCTTCCTCTGCACCGCTGCCTCCTTCACAGCTGAAAAGGTAAAGACAGGGAGGTCAGGACAGGACAGGGGTCTATTTACGTGTCAGAACCCCCACAGGCCTCATTCGAGATGGAGACCTCACCGTGCTCGGCAAGACCTGGGGCCAGCCGGCCTTCCTAGGATTCAGAGCAAAGCACATGCAACGAGCCGGTAGGGAGACACCCTTACAGTCCAATCTATACCCTGGTTTAATTCTCATGCTCACATTGTCTCCATCCACGCCTCAGCCAGGCCCTCCTCGATCAGCTAAATTCCTACTTCTGCCCTGGCGGTGCTGGGCGGGAGGGTCTCGGAGAAGGAATTTGGCGAAGGAGGGAATGGCAGACGAGCAGGGGCACTCCATGCCGAAGGGACAGCGTGGAAGGACGCAGGGAAGGGTTTGCAGCTGACAGATGGACCAAGAGGAGGGGAGCACGATGCAGTACGAGGATAATAGGGGAGGGCAGAATCGTGAAGGGCCTCGGTGGGGAGGACAGGAAGCCTGAACTTGATGCAGTGGAGAAGCGGGGGCAGGTGGAGGGAATCCAAGAGGGGGTGATGCAGGCGGAGTGATAGGAGCGGAAGATGATCTAAGTCGATGCTTTTCGCATGGACGGGAAGGGCTGTGATGTGAGTGTTGGGGAGGCTGGGGAGCAGGAGTTAACGGTAATCAAGACAGCAGATGATGTGGGGGGGGGTGAGAGGCTGGGCTGTCTGGATAGAGGGGAAAAGGACAGATCCTAGAGAAGTCACGAAGGAAGAAGCGATGAGATTTGGACCCAGCTTAGGCGTGTGGCACAAGCGGGCAGCTGGGCTACGGAACTGAGACACATGGAGGAAAGCGTTTAGGTGACAGTGCAGAGTGCACATACACCCTCTCCACCATCACCTAGACTCTGGATCCGGAGCAGGGTGGCAAAGTGCTGCAGGAGGAGATGCTCCAGGGGTTAGCTTGAGATGGCTCCCATCGCTGTAATGCCCGGAGCCTCCCCATGGCAAGTGGGTGGACATGCGCATCCAGTCCTTGGCAGCCAGCCTCGTTAGCAGCAGTGTCCCTCGGTGAGCAGAAGGGGAGTGGCAGGATTCACTCAGTGTCTCCTGCCCGTTACTGCAACAGTTACAGGCTTGCATAGGCCCCTTCCCAGAACGGTGTAGAACTGAGCATGCACCCCTCCCTCCCACCCAAACGCGGGCAGCCCTCTCACCCTGCATGATGTCCTTCATGACCGACTGCAGCACGACCTCCTCGTACGTGTTCTCCACCAGGATGAAGTTGTCGAAGTCCTCGAAGATCAGTTCCTGGAACTTTGGTAACTCCTGCCCGAAGGAGAAGGCAGATTTCACCTAGCTGGCAGAGATAACCCAAGACCGCCTAGCTGCCCTGTGGCTTTCCAAAGACGACGTGCCTTTGAGAGGCAGAGAGCTACCCCTTCCCACAAAACCATGGGCACCACTGTTGAGCCAGGGATGCCACCGATTATGGGCCATCTAGCCAGAGGAGTTCTACACCAAGTTGAGATGAAACATAGACCCAAAGGGGTGAGGAATTTCAAGATCAGGACATTACAAAGAGAGATTAAGTCTTTGTACACGCACTGGGCCCAATTTTTCATATGCACCAAAGCCCCTTTACACCACTGGCAACATCAAGTAACATTGGTGCCCTAATGCGCCCAGAGTGGTGTGAAGGGGCGTTGGTGCAAATGAGAATCAGACCTGTACTCTACGGTTGTGGGCAAGGAGCGGGGTGGGGTGGTGGTGGGGGTCTTCATACACAGCGTTTGATGACTCAGCAGGGTTTTTGAAACGTGCCACCAACCCATGCCCGCGGGGCTGCTCGGGCTCTTACCCCCTTGCAGGTTGGCGCCAGCTTCTTCAGCAGGAAGGGGATGGTGATCTGGAGCAGGGCTTCCCTGAAGAACTTCTTGCGCACGGTGCTGCTGTCGTAGTCGTATTTCTGCGGGACGAGGGGCGCACCGGGGGAGAGGGAAACGAGGTTGGTTAACAAACCTTTGGCATCTCGCAGGAGAGGAGATTACAGAAGAGCGGGCCGTTTAGAGGAAGGAGAACTTGCAGCTTTCCTGCCATTTTATTTAACAATCCTTTCGCCAGGAAGCGATTTACACAAGGGGATTTACCAACGTGTTTTCAGTATCCAACACCAGCCCCTTCCCTGGGCTCAGGAGGCAGCGTGGTCCAGGGGACAGGTCACTGGACAGATTCTGATGACCTGGGCGCTATTCCTGGCTCAGACCTGCTATGGGGCAAGTCACTTCACCTCCCTGTGCCCGATCTCCACTGGGTTCTAGGAACAACTGTGATACCTATTGATACTCGGTCCGTTTAAAGTTACAATTGCCGAGTATTGTTCGACACAATGCACTCACTCCGGCCCTTACCTGCCCCATGGCAGGCACACAGCATGCCTGGGCTTCGAACAGAAGCTGCAGGCACTTTCTTTGTGGCAGAGGTTTCTCTCCTGTCTAGCATCCCGAGTCCTTATCGGGGCAGCATGGGCGAGTTAAAATGCCCCACACCGTCACGTTCCAGAGACGGCCGACCTCGCAGGAGCATGCAGCTGCTTTGCGGGCTGCCTTACCTTGAGCACCCGTTCGAGGATCCGCTGGATGGACTTGCACAGCTCCTCCTTGCCTAGCATCTTCGCCAGCTCCTGGTGCAGGAGCGTCCCGAACGTGTGAACGGCATCGTCCATTTGCTACAATGAGAAGCATCATCAGACGGTGTCCCAAAAGGAGGCCAAGAGACCACGTCATGTAGGACATCCAGCAAAGCAAGGATGCAAGGGATGAGCAGAGCAGGCACGGAACACACCACCACATGGAGACGGGTCACAGGGGCATCTCCTCTATTCCTGAACCTGCACCAGGACAGACAGGCCCGGTCCCCATCCCACTCATGCTCTGCACCCAGACAGGATTTTGAAAGCACCAAGTTAACCTGCATAAAAGTGTTTTCTTTCCCACCACTAGAGGGCACTAGCAGCACATTTCCCCAAAAACAGCTGCAATGGTGCATGGGATATCAGTACACAAACTCCTCCTCCCCCTTACATGGGTCTTGTCCAGACTGGCCCCTGGATACTCCTCCGGGAGCTGTATAACAACCAGTCTCCTAAATCAGCTGTGCCAGGCTGAATGGGATGTGAGTGATGGAAGTGGGAGCATTACAGTTCTAGAACATCTCCCAGTTCTCCACAGGTGCCAGAAAGTTACACTGGCTCATAGGCTCCTACACAGCTAATTGAGGCTGGCTTCCTTGACCCCGCACCGGCGCATATAGACTATTGCCTGTGGGAGACTCTTCAATGTAAGGGGGAAGAAGAATTGAATCGGCGTAGCCCAGGCCTGGCCACCCATCCTGCCACCAGCACGACAGTGTCGGATGTATACGAGGTCTCCCCGTCCCCGTGAGGTTGTTCATACGCATGCGTTCCCTCCCAGTGGGACACTGAATTGTTCACAGGCACCAGTGCACAGTCGCGACATGCAGGGTCAATCGTTTGTCCCCAAGAACATAGGTGGCCGTTGGGTCAGACGTGCGCCAGGCCATGGGCAGCGTGGTGCTGGGGAGCAAAGCGAAGGGGTTGGGCCGGTGATGGTTCTGCCACTGGGGCGTTGCCATATTCAGAGGAGAAAAACGAAGCCGCTGAAATAAGCTTGTCTCCGTACCGGCGCTGTGCCCCCGGCCCGGCTGTTCATTTTAACAAGGTGACTCTTTCAAAGGCAGGCTCCTGGGGGGTGGGTACAGCCGGACTGAAGCCCAGCCTGTCCAATGCACAAGAGCACACTCCAGTAGGGGGCGCCCACGCAGCAGGACATTGATGACCAGCCCAACGGGCAGGGCACTGGGAGAACCTGAATTCATAGCCACAGCGACCCACCTAAACTCTGACCCACAGAGCATAGGCGCTGACTCCGTGGGTGCTCCGGGGCTGGAGCACCCATGGGGAAAAATTGATGGGTGCTCTGCACCCACCGGCAGCTCCCTGCCCCCGCCCCCCCCGCCGCAGCTCACATCCACCTCTGCTCCACCTCCTCCCCTGAGCGCGCCGCGTGCCCATTTTTCCCCCCTAGCTCCCAGCGCTTGCACCGCGAAACAGCTGTTTTGCACGGCTGGGAGGGAGGAGGGAGAACGCGGCGCGCTCAGGGAAGAGGCGGGGCTGGGGCAGGGATTTGGGGAAGGGGTCCAATGGGGCAGGGAGGGGGCGGAGACTTTGGGGAAGGGGTTGGAATGGGGGGGCAGGCGCAGGGAAAGGGTGGAGTCAGGGTGGGGCCAGGGAGGTGCGAGCACCCACCGGCACCGGGGAAAGTTGGCGCCTATGCCACAGAGCTCGGCGGCTAGGGCCAAAGACGGCTCCCCATAGGGCAGCGAGCATAAGGGCTGATCACCCCTGGAGTTTGGCTATTAATATTAACATGCTACCTGTCTCATGAGGATCTGGGCCCTCTGCTTGAACACGGAGGCACTGGAGACGTCAAATCTCTGTTGAAGCCCCTCCAGTTTCAGCTGGTCCATCTTCTCATAGCAGGACTGCATCTTGACAGGGTGGAAGGCCAGCTGGGAGAGCTTTTCCATGTACTGAAGGGCAAGGAGTCACACACACAACTCACCGGCTGTACGGAGAGAGCGCCCTACCTCCCGCCCACTCCCCAGGCCTGCTGAGACCCGGCATCAGACTGGACACCAAGCTTCCAGGGAGCAGAGGATGCAAAGCCCAGAAACCGGAATCCTTCCTCAACTGCGCCCATTTAATCTGGGTCACAAAGACAAGAGCATTTCCAAGTGTCTGGGTCCCCGCACCGCCAGGTGGCACACAGACATGGGTGAGCCTGGTGCAGGAAGATCACCTGCTGTAGGTCAATCACGGGTCTCTACTGTTCGTTCAGGGTGGGCGGCAGGCGTGACCACCTGGGGCTGCTCTGGCTGGACCCAGATGGGCCCGGCTGGATCCAGAGTGATCCCAGGTTTCCGTACGCAGGTGAAATTGGATGCCCTGGATTTTGTTAAGACCGACTCGTCGCCCAGGGCTCAGGAGAAGAGCTGGGAATTCAGTTCTCACCTTAAGTGGATCGTTCCAGCTTCTGCCCGAACACCAAAGGAACCTATAGATCTAGTGGGACCAGGACCGGTGCTGCCCAAGGAAGCCCTGGGCCCCCTACGGTCTGTGGCTTCCAGCTCAGAGGGGAGCACAGGCCTGCCAGCTCTGATGTGAGCAGACTAGGGGCAGGGCCACAGGTTTATTCTCACCATTCAGCTCCAGCCTTACTCAGGACAACTGCGGGTGGAAGCTGCGCTCCCTGCTTGGCCAGGCTTCCCCTGGGCACCCACAAGGCTGACCCTCTGCCTCCTCCTAGATTCAGGCAGCGGGGTGGGGTAGAAGCCACACTTCAAGCAGCCCATTCACAGTCCAGTGCCCTCCGCCCATGGCAACCTGCAGCAGCTACAGAGTCCGTTCCCCTGGGCCTTTCAGCCCACCCTGCTAGGCCAGCAACGGGAATCTATGCAACCTTCTCCAGGGGCCTTACCTCTCCCAGCTTCTCCATCCCGCTCTCGTTGATTACGTTCATGTTCATGTCAGTGACCTCCTTGAAGAACACTTCCCGGACCTCGGCAAAACCCTGGCTTGTGGGAATCATCAGCGCCTCCAGGATGGAAGGGATATAGGGCTGCACATGGTTTCGGACACAGATCTCTGCTTTGGGCAGCACGAAGGCTGGACGAGGAAGAGACAGGCAGACAATTAGCATGGGATGGGTCCCGCTCTGCCCACCTTCCTCGCTGAGCTTTGGAGCCACCTGGAAGCCCAGCATGGTGCTCCAGCTCCTAGACTACGCCCTAGGGAAGGACAGGAGTTGCTCTGCTCCACCCCTTCCAGGTGGTGGCCAAAAGGATAGAGATGGAGCTGGATAAATTTATAAATGGGATGACAGAGTTGCCCACCATAGCAGGGGACTAGACTTGAAGACCCACAAGGTCCCTTCCCATCTTAGGTCTGATCAGCCTGCAACCACAGCTCCTCTGTCTGCTACGCTTGGCAGTACTTGAATGGCGATCCTCCAAGCATCGGTGCCAGGAGAAGTTGGCGCCTGTGGGTGCTTGACCCACCCCCTCCCCGACTCCACCCCTACCCCGCCCCCTCCCACCCCCGCCCCCATTCTAACCCCTTCCCCAAAGTCCCTGCCCCAACTCCGCCCCCTCCCTGCCCCTATTGGACTCCTTCCCCAAATCCCTGCCCCGGCCCCGCCTCTTCCCCGAGCGTGCCGCGTTCCCGCTCCTCCCCCCTCCCTCCCACAGCTTGTTACTGTTTCACGGCAGCAAGCGCTGGGCGGAGAAGCGGGGATGCGATGCGCTCAGGGGAGGAGGCGGTGGAGCGGAGGCGAGCTGGGGCGGGGGGGTGGGGCGGGGAGCTTGGCTGCCAGTGGGTGCAGAGCACCCACCAATTTTTCCACGTGGGTGCTCCAGCTCCGGAGCACCCACAAAGTCAGTGCCTATGCCTCCAAGAAAAACCCATGGGGGTGCAGAAAGTGCTACTGGCAATTCAGTAGGCGGCACTCTTGAGTCAGTATTGACCCTGTCCTTCCCCCATATGGCGTATGGAGCCAATGTGCTGCCAGAGATGTTGGCTTTTGTATGAGCTCCTGATACCGCAGAGCTTCCTACAAACAGGAGCGCTCGTCTCAAAGCCCTGGTCAAATTCTAGTCTGAGTAGCTGTATTCCACTGCTGTCAGCCCTGCCCCTGCCCTGCCCTGGGAGCATGGTATGCTTCACCTCCTGCCCAGCACTGTGGTACGTTAGCAGACGCCACGTTCCACCTCAGGCGGCTAGAGTGTAACAGTGCAGACTTAGTTTGTAATACTTGGGATCCTTCAGGATATAAGGAGCTATGCAGGGTGACCATCTCTGCTGGAGGGAAATAAGGGGAAACCACATGAAAAACAAGGGACACCGCTTTATCTGAAGGGACATTTTAGGGAAAACACCATTTCCCTTGGCACATTATGTATTTCTTCCTCAGGTGCACATTTCTACTGCCCTCCAGCACACAATGCAATTAGCGTAAGCTTCGATTTCATGTTTTAAATAAGGGAGGGGTGATCATCTTAGGACCAAATCAAAGACATAAGGGACGGTGCCTTAAACTAAGGGAGGCTAGAGCTATGTGAACTACAGAACTGCTCCAGCACTTGGGCTCTTCGCCCCCGGGGCCGGTTTCTGGCTCCCAGCCCTAGGACAGCACTGCAATTTGGAACGTCAGGATTTTGACTAAACTAATACAATGGACTATTGCTGGGGGTAGTCGTTCGGGCTCAGGCTCAGAAACCCAGACCCCTCCTTAGGCCTCAGATCCCGAGCCTGAACATCTACACAGCTATTTTTAGTGCCATTGGTGAGCCCAAGACTGCAGATCCGGGTTCTGAGACTTGGTGCCGCAGGTGAATTTTTTTTTCGCCATGTAGACACACCCAAAGGGGCAACACGTTTCCTACCTCGGATTTTGCTGGCTAAGTGTTCCTTTGCTGTGATGATCTGGTCCATGTCCGTGCGAATGGTGCTCTCCATTCTGGGACGCTCCAGCTCACATTTTGTCACCACTGCATCATAGTGCGCCTTTATCTGGTCATAGGCGAGCCTGTAGACAGCATCCGAGATCTAGAGGAAGAAGAGGAACAGCGCCTTCAGCATCCTGATCCCACGGGGCGTCTGAGGCTGTGCTGCCGTCTGACCCTGGTGAGCCCAGGACCCTTCCTGACCTCTGTCTGCAAGGCAGCCTGCCATCTCTTTGCACCCCCCGTGACTGAGTGCTCCCCAACCATGGATATGCAGGGACATCTGACAATAAGCTTTCTACAGCATGCACAGGAATTGTCTGCAGCTGCCATTAGATCCCCTAACAAGGAAAGGCCTGGCTATTTGAGATCCGCCTAGCAAGTCTGGTCATAGCGCAGTGGCTGGTCAGTACATCTCAGGATTCGCCGCTTCCTGATGTCAGCAAGAGCAACGGACTCCATCCAGCTCTGAGTTTTGTTCGCTCCCACCCACCCATCTCTCTTTTTAAAAACTGCTGACATTTTTTTTTCCTTTTCTACTGTACGCTTGTGGTGATTTACACTGGAATCCGTGCAGACGTCTGCTGTGCACCATTGCGTTCAAATGGCAGGACTCCACCGGGATCCATGCTAGCAGATCTCAGGGCAGGAGCAAAGTCTAGGATTGTAGTTCCCGAGGTTCACGTGCCTGGGGGTGCTTTATTCATACATATTTTTGTTATGACTGCACAGTGCTACCGTATGTACAAGTTATTAATTGTGGCGTTGGGAGGAGTCTCCTGCCTGGAATTTTGTCATGCTATTATTTAGCACCTCTGGTCTTGAAGATCATAGAATCATGGAAACGTTGGGCTGGAAGGGACCTTGAGAGATCATCAAGTCCAAGCCCCCTGCACTGAAGCAGGACCAAGTAAATTAAGACCATCCCTGACAGGTGTGTTTGTCCAGCCTGTTCTTAAAAGCTTCCAAGGCTCTTCTCTTGGAAGTCTCGTACAGAGCTTAACTATCCTTATAGGTAGAAAGTTTTCCCTTACATCTAACCTGAAATCTCCCTTTGCTGCAGATTAAGCCTATTACTTCTTGTCCTACCTTGGCGATGGAGAACAAATGATCCCTGTCTTCTTTAGAACAGCCCTTACCATATCTGAAGGCCTCTCTGGTCCAGACTAAACATGCCCGGTCTTTTTTTAAACCGTTCCTCATAGGTCAGATTTTTTAAGCCTCTGACCATGTTTGTTGTTCTCCTCTGGACTCTCTCCAATTTGTCCACAGCTTTCCTAAACTGCGGCACCCAGAACTGGATGCAGAACCCGGCTCAGGCCTCACCAGCGTCGAGCGGGACAAATACCTCCCCATCAGGAGGAAATATTCAGCACTTCCTGAAAGCCAGGTCCTTTTCAAGTGTCGAGTGGTGAACCCAAAATCAGCCACTTGAAGGCAAGTCGTTTAGGCCAAAGTTTACACAAGATGTTAGTGGCAGAGGCAGGAATTGAACTCTGGTTTCTTGAGTACCATTCCAATGCCGTAATGGACAAGGTCGCCCTTCCTCCCTAGCGCCTGTCTCATCCTCCTGCCCCTTTCATGGGAGCAGCACAAGCCCTTCCCCACCTTGGATTATTACAATGAAATAAGAATCCAATTTGATCATCAGGATTTAGGCTGGAAATCTGCAATCTTCACCTTGGCCCTGGAGGCCAGACTGGTTCCCAGTCTACTTGGCTTCCCCTCTCTCATGCATTGGCACAGGGCTGCAGCGTCTGGGTGGTTACGGCTAAGGGGCACTGTTTGTTTGTTTGTTTAAAGAGGTCTCAAGTGGAATTTTATAGCGAGTGTCTCATGGAAACATTTCTATTGCTCTCAAAGGCTTTAGAACAAGCTTGTTTGTATAAAACCACAGATTCAGGCCAGATTTAGCCTGTGTTGGTCTAAAAATGGTTTGCTAAATATAATTGGGACGAGCCACGCTGCTGGGTGGTAGCTAGGGTGTACGTCCCTCCCCGGGGGGGACGGCCAGCACCGCAGCAGCCGCATGTTCTGCCCGCCACCAACAGAAGGTAAGTGGGAGGTTGAGAAATAGGCTGTTTACACCTATGACGGGGAGCTTGATAAAACCAGCAGCGAGGCATACGGATCGGATCGCTTGTTTCCCTGCGCCCTCGGGGAGAAGGGGGTGACTCGGGGAGGTGCCTCTGAGTCACACAAGCCAGCAGGAAGCAGAGTCCAGGCACCACACCCAAGGCAAGGGGACCCATTCCAAAAGCGGTCAGAATCCAGTCCTGGATTTCCCAGCAGCCAGCACCAGTTTCTGGAGTGTGTCATCCATACAGGAACATTTCAGCCAGTGCATGCAAAGGGGTACAATTTCACCAGCCTGGTGCTGCAGCATTCACAGCCCCACGCCGCCCACGCAGGGCCCTGGCCTCTTCCCCCCCCCTCCCCCCCCCCCCCCCCCACACACTAACCTGTATCCAGAGTCTCTGCCTCTCCTGGGCCTTGCCCTTCAGCTTGGGGCCGATCATGTTTTTCAGTTCTGGGACCAGTTCCTCCATCACCAGATTGCTCAAGACCTAGAGGAGCAGAGTGAGGAAGCTGTTTAGTGACTAGATCTCACGTGGCTGTTAGCTGTCCTTCCACCGCTGGGCGCTCTGCTCTCCCCGCCTCCCGACCCATCTTCTTCCTCGCAGGCTGCCCGTTCTTCTGAAGATCCATTTCGTTCCCAGCCGGGAACTTCCTCCTTCCCCACCCCCATGATACACAGCTCCAGACTCTTACATGCCACCTTCCCCTGTGCACCTAACGCTTTGTTCCGTGGCTATGATACTTCCATCTAGATCAAGGCCCACCATGAGGGCTCTTGGCATGAAACGATTTCTCCGTAACACATGCGAACGGCCTCCCCCCAGCAGTTTGGAAGCGCTGATGAAGTGCTCCCCACAATTTGTTTTCTAGCGAAGAGAGCCGCTTTGGGCCACAAATCCTTTTCCGAGGCCTTAGCGGCATCCGGGCCCCGTGTCCTGACAGAGCATCGGGAACAGGTTCCGTACGGGGAGCTGCTTCCTCGTCCCACACAAGGGTCTTTTGTGGCTCAGGAGGGGCGCGCTGTGCCGCTCAAGAATGAGTGGAGCGCGAGACGGCGCTCCGATTGCTAGCTAGGATGGCTCCATCAACCCAGGAAGGTGGACGGTCTCCTGAACAGGCCCTGCTGGAGACATCTGCTGGTGGATCCACCCTGCGCATCCGCAAGGACCGCAAGCCAGTTTCCGATGGAAGGGGCTGGCCGGACGCGGTTGTGTGCACATGAAGGACGTGTGCGCGAGAAGCTAACGAAGATGTTCTCCCACCGCCAGACACGGGGAGCATCGAGATTAGAGCTCTGGCTCAGAGTAGCTGCTCACGGTCCTCTCGGGGAATGGGAGTCAGCGCATGTGCAAGCTAACCCGGCCTTGGTGCCTGTGGCAGCCATCGGACACACTGCCCTTTGCATCTCTTCCACGTTCCCATTGCACTAGGGGTAGGCGCTCACAGAATCAGTGACCGTCTCTGCTTGGCTTAGGTCCCTCCCTCCCGGAGGTTTGGCTTGACGCCTCCTCTGCCCGTTTCCTCCATGTCCAGCCTCCTGCCCACCTTCCGCTCGGCTGGGTTCCTAAACCCAGGCATCGACCCGCCCCTCCCCACCACCTTCCTAGTCCCAGCTGAGGCCTCACAACTGTTCACATGTGGGATTTTGGCGCTCCGCCCACTGGCCGCCTCCGCCCTGCCAAGGGGATCGTATTAAAATGCATCACGCGAGTCCGTAAAGCCACGTCCTTGACATCTGAGCTCCAGTATTTCACAGGCTGCCAGCGTCCCCCCCCCCCCCCCCGGGGATTCCAGCGCCCCCCTGCCGAGGATTTCTCCCCCAACCAGGAGATTCCACTAGACACTGGCGGGGAGGGGAGAGAGAATATTTCCCCTCACATTAACCCTGGGAACGGTGGTATTTGCAGAGGCCCAGCCAGCTGTAACCAGCCGCGGCTGGAATTCCTGCCCGGCCAGAGCAGCCCGACTCCCCGTGGAACGCCCTGGGAGGGGTGCGTGTCAGAAATGGCTTTTACCAAGGCACCTTCCTCTTTCTCAATCTTCTCGTAAAGGGCGGCCAGGAGCGGTGCCTGTGTGCTGGGAGGGGTGAAGCAAGGGGGTGTCAAGGGAGAGAGGAGGGGCGCAGGAGCATTTGGGGTACCAAGCCCTGCCTTAAGCGTGCCGGCAAGCGTGCCTTTCTTCCCCCAAGCTTCCCCTCCATGCCAACCCAGCCCCAGGAGATGGTTTAAAGCCAGGTCTTCATGGAGAGCCAGATGCAGCATCTGAGCAGCGTTTCTTGGGGAAGGGCATAGGCAGTAAACTCCCCCATCAAGATACCAGCTTGGGCACAAGCTTCTCTTCCCGAGTTAAGCGTCACTCTTGATGTCTGGGGAAGGTTGGGGAGTGGGGGGGTCACTTGTTAAAAGGTGGCTAAAGCCGATCTTCCTAAAGATGTTTCCTCCCTTTAGGGGGGTAACTAGGACCCCAAAATGCAGCCCTGTCTGTGGAAAGGTTGGGCAGGGCATGTGAAGGCATTCAGCGTCCCCCAGGACCTCCCCAACCAGCAGACGCCTTGCCACGGCAGCTCGGTGATGAAATCCATTCATCCCTCTCTCACGCCAATACAACTCCCACCAGCAGAAAGAGAAGTGTCTACAAGAGGGAAGACACATTAGCAAGCTGGGCTGGAGATCAAGGGTGAATAGGCTGCAGTGGGCCTCCAGCCATCCAACAGCACCAGGCAGAGGTGGAGGAAGGGCCAGGAGCTGCCATGACCTCTACCCTAGCGTAACACCCACTCAGCAGTGACACAGGGCTGGCACGTAAGCAGCATGCATGTCCCAGCCTTCCCCCCAGCTCTCCCTGGAACAGCGCCACTTCCCCCAGCCTGGAGGGTTAAATGACTAAGCCAGCTCTCCCCAAGAGACCAGCTGCCAGAGCAAAGGCACAACGGTTTATCCCTTCGGGGGGGGACGTCGGATGGGCCACGCCCTGCAATGCAGCCAAGCCTCAAGGCTTTGGAGCATCTAACCCAGCAGGGATGCCAGCTCCACAGTCCCCCAACCCTGGGTAATCTCAATCCATCCAGGAGGCTGATTTGGAGGTGCCCAACCATCCCCCTTCTGGCTGGGGTCAGGTTATTGCGGGAGAAGCAGCCGTGCGGCTCTGGGCCCGGGGACCCCTCTCGCCCTCACCTGGACCTCGTTGCCACAGAGCATGTCCCAGGTGCCGTACTGCTCCTTCGACTGCCGGTACATGCGGACGGCATCCGTAAAGGCTGGGGCCTCCACCTTGGAGTCCTCTGGGATCCCTGAAGGAGAGAGAGATTATTTAGGCTCGGGGAGGGGGGTGGCACAGAGGAAACCATAGCAGATTTTCCTGTGATGCACTCACAGCTTCGGTTACATTCTCTTCCCCTGCCGTGACTCACGGCCGACAGTGACGGCATCCCTTGCGGGGAGCTCACAGTTCCCTGGGACTGGAGTAGCGTGAGCTCCCTGCTCCAGCCAGAGCACCAAAGCCCCTTCAGAGGCCAATAGCGCCATTTAAGGCTAATTGAGATGGGCCTGGACCAAAACCCCAGATCCAAATACCCCCAAAAGCCCTGGGGACATTTCAGATCTGGAGCTAAAATGCGGCTGCCTTATATTGTTCCCTGTACTGCCTCCGAGTGGCAAGAGAATCGGTATAGGGCACCATACACCACCACCATTGTCATGTGACCAGGGGGATCCCATAGCACATAAAAGGGGGAGGAGGGAAGAAAGAAGGTGCCTGGGCCTCGCCAGAAAGATTTCCTATTGGCATCAAGTAACTAAACCCCCCGCTCGCCCCCTGAGAGCTCTCCCGAGGCTCAGGGTTAGACAGACACCTGGAGCACTGGGGAGCGCAAGCCACAGGAAGTGAGGTTGAAAGGAAATTAATTACTAATCGTGGGGAGGGAAAGGAGAGAGTGGTTTAAAAAAAAAAAAAAAAGTATGAGGCAATGGATGAGTCATGGGCAGCATGAGGTTCCCAGCCAAACCCAGTGTGGGGAGGTGGGGACACCAATACCACTGCAGCCTGCTCCACTCCCACTGAGATTTCAACTCCATGATTCACAGCAGCACACACCACAGTGCAGACCACGGGATGGGAAGAGGACTAGTTGATGGGGGCTGGGGTGCCAGGGAGGTGGCATCTTTTTGCATGACTCCCACCCCCCCCCGTCCCTGGAAGCCAGAAGCCCCATCTGTAGATGGTTGTCCATGCAGGGAAGGGACTGGTCTGCACCAGCAGCTGGGCCGGTTAACGGGGGGTTAGCTGGACTTTGAGAGGTACCAGGCTGGGGGCAGAGAATTCTGGGAACTGATTTGCATAACCCATTGCAACACCCAGATACCCAAGAAGAGGCGGCGCTGGCGCGAACCTTTCCAGAGCTATTGAACGATGCTCCAAGCAGCTGAACCAGCTCCGGAGCTGGGGAAGGCGAGAGAAGCGAGGGGGCTGGGGGCACAAATTGGCTGGTTGCCAAACATTCCATGCCAAGTACAGGGGTCCCATTAACCCTGCCCTGCCTCTCTGCAGTCTGCACTGGGATCTGCAAGTCTGGAACTTGCTGGGAAGTGCTGGGAAGTGAGGTGGGGGGAGTTCACCTCTGGGTAGCAAAGACGCCGGAAGCCTGATGCATTAGACTGCATGTGTACTTCCCTTCTGGCTGCCTTGGCCAGCAGCAGAAGGAATGCAGGATGTGACGGGGACTCAGCACAAAGTCTGGGTCTCTGCAATCTCCTGCCAGGCAGAGCTGAGCCTCCAAATGCTTGCTGCAAGCCGGCTCTGCTGGTGTGAAATCCGGAAAGGCAGCCTCCCTCCTACTCTGCCCCCTCGGCATCGTGCGCAAGTTACGGATGCCACCGCATGGAATCCAGGCAGTCACAAATGCAGCAGAGGGATTTTTAGGGCCGGGGCGGCGCTATGGTTTTTTGCTGCTAAATCCACTGAAACAGTTCAGAGCAAACGAAAGCAAATTCCTTCTAAGTGTTTTGAAGCAACAACTGTCGTAAACGGAAGACTGCAAAAGGGGGTCGGTTTTATATTAATGTAGTAGCAAAAAAAAAATTCCTAAAAATCTTTGAAGTTAGACTCCACTGGTCCCCGTCATTTCTAAAATTTGACTTTAATTTACAAGTCCCAACGTAAAAACGGCAAGTACTCAATGCATCCTGCTCCTCGGGTGTCAGACCTACCTGTAAAAACCAGTTTATTTACTTTTCATTCCGGTTAGCCCTGCAGCGCCTGGAAGAGCCAGCCGGATGCTCATGTGACTCATGCATCCACACCAAAATTGCTAACTAAGCAGCTACTGCAGAATCTCTGTTGTGATCTGTAAGCCAGGGAGAACCTAGCTGCATATTCGCACCCCAGGAAGCGCATGATGGGTTGGCAGTTAAGAGGGGGAAAAGAAATCACAAGGTATTTTTGCTTGTGTGCCGAGCATTTATCTGGAGCGTGGGCAGCACAAACATGGCAAACCACAATGCCGGTTTTTAATCGAGGGAATTTCAAGATGATCTTATTGAAACGCAGCTAAAAGATTTAAGATCATAAGGGACCATTATAATCATGTCGTCGGATCTCCTGCAGAGGACTGACCCCAGGGAGTCCTGGGCTATCTCCTTTAGAAAGTCGTTCTGTTACTGGAATCTTTGGTTTTATTTGTAATAAAGCCAGGTCACCAATGCAGCTGTGGCATGTTTAAATGTCCGCCCCTTTAAAACCAGAGAGTTTTTCTGGGCAGGGACGGTCTAGTTCCGAAGCCTGTTTGGGGACTGAGAGGAGAGCAGGTCAAGGCAGAGCTGGTGATTTCTGCCTGACGAGCCAAACCAGGACACCTGGAACGGTGTTTAGAGTAAACAGCAACACAGCAGGGTAATGCACTAACTAGCCTCTCCCTTCCAGTGACTGAGGTTCACAACACAATATAGATCAGCAGCGAAGCAAGCTAGACGGGCACCCGCCTACTCCCCCACGTGGGTGTCTGGCCAGACTTACTGCCCAGGTGAGCGCAAGTGATAATCTGACCAGGAACGGAGCAGCCAGGGACGCAGTGCATCAGAAAGCTGGACGAGGCTGAGGAAGCGTGTGCAGCACCTGTTCAGAAAGTGCTGTGTTCTAAGCAGCAGCAGCCTTCCAGGTAGAATGTGCTAAATTCGCCCCAAAGAATGCTGGGTAAAAGTGATCCCCTTCCATGGGGTAGCTCCCACCTCCAGGCAGATCTTACTCCTGCTGCGGCCAGGGCCACTCTGGGGGCCTGGGGCAGAATTTGAATCAAGACCACTGCCCCCTGCACTGTCAAAAACACTACTACTGATGGGATACCCGGAGGGGCGGGGGGAGCTGCAGAGAAAGACCGCCCAGCATGCACCCTACATTGGTGGCTCCTGTCCCGCGGGGCTAGCCCAGCGTCCTGCTCTGCAACCTGGCACATGGTGTCACAGTGCCACTCAGGTTTGGCTCGGCCCCCAAACCCACGTGGTGCTGCGGCCCCGTGCACCAGGCTGCAAAGCCACACATTCAAATGCGGCCCAGCGGCTCTTCATCATGCCAGGACAAAGGGACGGCCCAGCCAAACCTGCATGGTGCAGCAATCCAAGCACCAGGTCGCAACGCCACTTGGTTTGGAGACCCTCTCAACAGGGGGGGCTGGGGCAAATGACCCCTTTTGTCCCCCACCCAACCCCGGCCAGCTCTGGCTGCAGCTAAGTAAATGTGGAGTAAGACAGACCCTTTCCTCCAGCCCGAGGTCTGTAAGTAACCCTCCTGCACTGGTAAGTGCCAGAAACAGGTTTGATGGGGGGTATGGCTGAGCAGAGCGGGGTTTGTCCCCATCTCACAAAAATTTGAGATTTTGAAAATTTCTCTGCCACGGATGAGGATAAAAGTCAAAAATATCAACAATTTTCAAATGAAAAAATCCTAAAAAGCTCAATTGGGGTTAATCAGAAGGTTTCTTTTAGATAATTTCTACCCAAACCCCCCGTTTTTGACCCTTTCACGTTCATAATTTTTGTTTTGCTGTAAATTAGCTTCAGTTTCTGAACAAAAAGCAGTTTTGAACCAGAAACGTGGATTTTTTTTTTATTTCAAAAGCATCAAGAGACGATTTCCCAACTTTTTCAACTAAAGGAAGTTAATCAAAACAGACCCTTTCCTGCAAGACGGTTCAGTCTTGACAAATCTGCATTTTTGGACGAAAAATGCTTCAGGCCAAAAAAAAGAAAAAAACCAGCTCTATAGACAAGTTTGCCAGCAGCCCCTCCCCACCGCTCAGCCAGGTTCTTACTGCTGGCTGCTTCACAACAGAGGGTCGGTTTTGTTTCTATTAAGATTGCCCAGACCAGGGTGGAATAAATGATTAAAGAAAAAAAATCCCCTCGTTGTTACTAATGGGGAACAGTTCCTCTTTCGTTAGCAGCTGCTAATTATGGCTCTTGGGCTCTCTCCAGTTATGTTTTTGTGTCTGGTTGGCAATTTTCCCTAAATCCAGGGAAAGTGGGAAAAGCCCAGGATAACGTAGGAGTGTAGGGAACGAACGCCAGGCCTAGGTGCCTGGAGCGCAGCTCATGTAGCTGGATGGTCTTGCGGGTTAAATCAGAGCAGACCCAAGGCCTTGCAGTCCGAGCCTAGATCCAAAGGCTGCAGCTCCAACAGCCCCTTGCCCAGATTAACACAAGTTTACTAGCTCTGGTCGTCGGAGATCTCCAAGCACTATGAGGAACTAGGGTGACCAGATGTCCTGATTTTAGAGAGACAGTCCCGATTTTTGGATCTTTTTCTTATCTAGGCTCCTATTACCCTCCACCCCCTGTCCCGATTTTTCACACTTGCTGTCTGGTCACCCTATGAGGAACCCTAAGGCCCTCGCCTTTGAAGTAGGGCAGCTGATCGGACCTAGGACGACGCTGCCTGCTGTCCGCCTCCACCATCACCCCAGTTACGTACCCACCAGCGATGGGAATTCTTGCCTGTGGGGATGGACTAGGGAGGCGGTATCAAGCTGTCTGAGCATAGCAGTTAATGAGCATTGATTACAAAGACAGCAATGCACCCGCCTGGCCAGCAAGCTCCCCAATGTTCCCTTCTTGCCCTTCCACTTCCCCCTTGGCTTAGGGCCCTGAGAGATACCAGGGAACAGAGGGCCTTTGTCAGTCGGGCAGAGCATGAAGAACAGCACTAGGTGGGAAAGGAATTCCAGAGTGGGGTGTGTGTGATAAGAGTTGCCAACTTTCTAATCACACAAAGCCAACACCCTAGCCCCGCCCCTGCCCCGAG